TTCCCACCAACAGTGTAGGAGGGTTCCCCTCTCTCCGCATCCTCGCCAGCATCTGTCATTTCCTGACTTGTTAATTTTAGCCGTTCTGACTGGTGTGCGGTGGTATCTCATTGTGGTCTTGATTTGTATTTCCCTGACGCCGAGTGATGTGGAGCACTTTTTCATGTGTCTGTTGGCCATCTGGATGTCTTCTTTGCAGAAATGTCTGTTCATGTCCTCTGCCCATTTCTTGATTGGATTATTTGTTCTTTGGGTGTTGAGTTTGATAAGTTCTTTATAGATTTTGGATACTAGCCCTTTATCTGATATGTCGTTTGCACATATCTTCTCCCATTCTCTCAGTTGTCTTAAAGGGTGTATCCAACAAGATCTAACAACTGTAAATATCTATGCCCACAACATGAGAGCAGCCAACTACATAAGGCAACTATTAAACAGAATAATAAAAAAACATAGACAAGAATACATTAATTGTAGGGGATCTTAACACACCATTCTCAGCAATAGACAGATCATCCAAGCAGAAAATCAACAAAGAAACAAGAGTTCTGAATGACACACTAGATCAGATGGTCCTCATAGATATATCCAGAACATTTGACCCTAAAACAACAGAATACTCATTCTTCTCCAGTGCACATGAAACTTTCTCCAGAATAGACCACATACTGGGTCACAAATAAGGTCGCAACTGATACAAAAAGATAGAGATTATTCCCTGAATATTCTCAGACCACAATTCTCTGAAACTGGAACTCAATCACAAGAAAAAGTTTGGAAGAAATTCAAACACTTGGAAGCTAAAGATCATTCTGCTCAAGAATGTTTGAGTCAACCAGGAAATTAAAGAAGAACTTAAACAATTCATGGAAACCAATGAGAATGAAAACACTTTGGTCCAAAACCTACGTGATACAGTAAAGGCAGCCCTAAGCGGGAAATACATAGCCATCCTAGCCTCACTCAAAAAAATGCAAAAATCCTAAGTACACAAACTATCTTTACACCTTAAAGAACTGGAAAATCAACAACAAATTAAGCCTAGCCCATGTACAAGAAGGAAAATAATAAGATTAGAGCAGAGATCAGTGAACCAGAAACCAGAAATACAGTAGAACACATCAACAAAACAAGTAATCAAGTCAAAAATTTGGACATGAACAGACATTTTTCCAAAGACGACATACAAATGGCTAATAGATACATGAAAAATATGTTCATCATCATTAGCTATCACAGAAATTCAAATCAAAACCACACTGAGACAACATTTTACATCAGTTAGAATGGAAAAAATTGACAAGGCGAGAGATAACAAAGGTTGCAGAGGTTGTGGAGAAAAGGGAATCCTCTTACACTGTTGGTGGGAATGTAATTTGGTACAGCTACTTTGGAAAACAGTATGGAGGTTCCTCAAAAAAATTTAAAAATAGAGATACCCTATGACCTAGCAATTGCACCATTTACCCCAAAGATACAGATGTAGTGAAAAGAAGGGCCACATGCTCCCCAATGTTCATAGCAACAATGTTCACAATGACCAAACTGGAAAGAGCTGAGATGCCCTTCAATAGATGGAAGGATAAAGAAGATATGCTCCATATATACAACGGAATATTACTCAGCCATCAGAAAGGATGAATATTCAACTTTTGAATCAGCATGAATGGGGCTGGAAATTATACTAAGTGAAATAACTCAAGCAGAGAAAGTCAATTATCATATGGTTTCACTTATTTGTGGGGTATAAGGAATAGCATGGAGGACATTAGGAGAAGGAAGGGAAAAATGAAGGTGGGGGGGGATTGGAGGGGGAGATGAACCATGAGAGACTATGCACTCTAAGAAACAAACTGAGGGTTTTAGAGATGGGGGGGGTGAAGTGATGGGTTAGCCAGGTGATGGGTATTAAGGAGGGCACATATTGCATGGAGCCCTGGGTTTTATACATAACAATGAATCATGGAACACTACATCAAAAACTACTGATGTACTGTATGGTGACTAACATAATATAAAAAAAGGAAGAAAAAAAAAACCTCCAAATTTCAGGGACTCCTGTGGTGTGGACCTGCACTGTTCCACTTGTGGAAGGTCTCACCATGCTTGCTGGCCAATCCCAGGAAAGTGGTCATGTGACCATAAGGCAGTTCAGATTATAGCAGAAAGCCAGCACGAAGATCAACTGCTCTCCTCTGGCTTCCTGGCTCGCATGACTGGAAATAGCACATCATCTTGGCACCACCCACTCTTCCTGTCACCCAGAGGATCCTCAGACCACACTGTCACTCCTGGGATTCCACCCATCTTCACAACCTGAGCACATTTAAGCCAAGTACATTCTAGTTAGTAATAAACTTCCAAAGGTTCAGATTTTATGCTCTGCAGTTTCCAAAACTTTGCAAAAGCAGCCATAAGTAGGATCCTTCTCCACTGGTGGATCCACAGCTATATCTACCCCAAGAACTTATACACCTCCTACCTTCCAAAAGGTGGTCACTTTTCTACTTACAGGCTTGCAGATTTTTTTTCTCTCAGAACGCCAATTGATTTCTTGGGTGTTCAGAATGATTTGGTAACTATCTAGCTATGTTTGAGGGATTAGACTATCTGAGGGTCCCCCTACTTCTCTGCCATCTTAACTCCTCCCCACAAACACACAATGACTCCTCCCCCAGAGAAAGAGAATCTTATGCAGCTCCACACCCAATGTGGAATAGAACCAGGGTCAATCTCACAATCCTGAGATCATGACCCAAGCCAAAATTGAGAGTCAGATGCTTAACTAACTAAGCCACGCAAGTCCCTTAATTTTTAAGTTCTTGACATTACAGAACTAAACTGAAATTTATTAAAGATCCACTCTTAAATTTCTTATCAACAAACAAATAAAATTTATGAGCCAAAAACTCAAAACAAAACTAAAACAAGGAAAAGCTTATTAAACTAAATATGGATCCCAGCATCAACTGCTGAACACAGAATGTGACTTTTTAAATTCTTGGCAGATGGTAAAGTTGTGTAGAAACTAAATACAAATTATTTAAAGCCTGGAGCCCCTGGCCAGAAATTACACAGTTGGGTGACGGGAAAACAGCAGAAAGGGATTGTAAGTTAACCTATACTGTTCTGGCTTCACCTCACGTTCTTCTGAGTTAACCCCAGAATTGATTAGGTATTGGGCCAGACTAATACTGACAGAGGAACAGAGTAATGTAACTTGCCTACCAGAAGACGTCCACTGATTGGTAGTACAGAAAATGAGCTAGCAATGAAAAATCTGAAAATTAAATTAAGAAGGCAATGCTATTCATAATAGTAAAAAAAAAATTTAAGGATATATTTAACAAAACAAGAAATGTAAACTGTAAAAAAAATACATTGCTGAGAAAAATTAAAGAAGATATACAGATATATATATATATCTTCTTTAATTATCTATATATATACATAGATAGATAGATAGATAGATAAATATAGATAGAAGAATATATCATATTCAAGGATCAAAATACTTGACATTGTTTAGATGGCTATTCTCCCATTATTGACCTATGCGATTAAACAATGGAATACTTAGAAAAATCTTAGCAGGAATTTTCATAAAAATTAGAAAGCCAATAATAAAATGCATATGAAAATGCAAAAGACCTAGAATAACCAAAACAATTATTGGACAAATGAAAAATGTGAGGACTTAACAGCACTTCATTTCAAAATGCAGTATAAAGCTACTGTAATAAAAACTGTATGCTTTCCCATAAGGGTAGACGTAGAGATTAATGATATAAAATAGCAATTACAATAAAAAATCCATACATTTATGGTCAATTGATTTTTACAAATTTGCCAAGACAATTAAGTGGGGGAAAGAATGCTCTTTTCAAAAAATTGCAAGGGATAACTGGAAATCCACATAGCAAAAATAAAAATGAACTTAAATATATATACAAAAATTAACTCACAGTGTATCATAAAACTGAATATAAGAGCTATTAAGCCATGATGCATAAAAAATTGATAAACTATACTTCATCAAAATTAAAATTTTTTCTCCAAAAATGTACTATAAGGAAGAAATATTTGAAAATCATGTATCTGGTAAAGAACTCATAGCCAGAAAATATAAACAATTCTTACAACACAGTGAAAGTGTGAAACTCTCTATTTTCATTTTTCAAAATGGACAAAATTTTTGAATAGGATGTTCTTCAAAGAAGATATACAAAGCTATTAAGCATGAAAATATGTTCAACACCATTCAATATCATTAGTTTAGAGGGAAATGCAGATTAAAACCAATGTAAGGCTACACCACATACCAATTAAAATTATTCAAATTGAACATACTGAGCACACCAAATCTTGGTGTGGATAACCAGGACTGGTGACACAATTTGTGGGAACCCAAGCAAAATGGAAACATAGGCCCCCTATTTATAAAGTGGGTAAAATATATTACTATGGCACTAAAATAAAAAGTTTTTGCCTTTCTTCAGCAGCCTCTCTCTCAATGGGTCATGGTATTATTTACAATTTAATGTCTTTCTGAATAAAAATTTAATTATTAATATGAATTATACTGTCCATCCTTATATTGTACAAGGCCAGTTTTAAATGCAAATATCAAAACATTTAGCTTTATGCAAAGTCACTGAAATTACACAATTCATACGGCTTTTCCCCTTCAGGTTGCTTTCAATCTGGCCAGGAAGAAAGATAAAAGCAGGACTACAGAATGTAGGAAGAGGGAAGAGAATTTCACCAGCAGTGGAGAGGACTGGGAGAGTGTTGGACCTATTTTGGCACATATTCCATTTTACTTGAAAAGAATGTATTCCGTAGTTGTTGGGTATAGAGTTCTGTAACTGCTTAATTACTTCAGTTCAGTTAATAGAAGTATAAAATCTCCTAACCAAAAAACAAAAACAAAAACCTTTTTAAAGGAATAGATACAATAAAGAATAAAGGAATAGGTACAATAAAGAAAATTATCTTACACTGCTTTAGGTGACATTGTGCAAACATCTCCTGAACAATAGCAAGTGTCAGGATCATCGTAACTCAATCCTAGATTAAAGCCAAGCAACTGCACGATGCTGGTAGTGTATGACTCCAAGGATAAACCCTCTGGATACTAAATATAAGGAAGAAGAAAAGAGTTAGCTAGGAAGCCCAAACTATACTATAATAAATTTACTATAATAAAAAATTAGTGTATTCTATGCTAAATAATATTATAATAAAAAATTAGTACATAAAACTCATTTTTTTAAATCAATGCATCCAAGAAGCTTATGTAGATGCATGTGGATCATAGACTTATTAAACATGGATGAGTGAACACAATAGTTTAATTTCAAAATACTAATACTTAGTGACAATACCAGCTACTTTAATCTAATAGTCTCAAACACCATACTATATTGCTTCTTTGAGTTATTTTAAACAAAATGACTTAAATCTTTTGTTTTAATAGTCAATTTTATATTCTCTTTGTAGTAGGCAGCTTCTAGCATGGGTCACAAGGAATCTGCCTCCTGGCATTCATGTTCTTGGTATTCCTATTCTGTTCTGTACAGGATGAACTTATTGACTTGCTTCTAATTAACTAAATGTAGCAAAACAGATGGCCATCATTTCTAAAAATGGATTATAAAAAGACTGACTTTTCAATTTCCTGTGGGATGTAGTAGAAGAAAAAAACTAAAAGAAAAAATAAAAGACTGACTTCTTGGACTCTATGTCTCACTCAAGCTCTCTAGGTGAAACCAGCTATGACAGCATGAAGTAGGCCTGTAGAGAGACACACAGGCACAAGTTTGGAAACAGATTTTAGGAGGTCTGTCACAGCCAAATGACTAAGTCTGAAAGCAAATTCTCTCCATATTGAAGCCTGAGATAACTATAGCCTTACTTGACACCTTAACTTCACCCATTTAGATTCACTACCCACAGAACTGAGTTGTTTTCATCTGCTAAGTTTTGGTATCATTGGTTACATAGCAGTAGAAAATTAATAACTTTCAGTAGGTATTACTGTTTTCCTTTGGATCGTTTCCAATTTCTACACAAAGATGTTTATAGAAGCTTCATTCATAATTCCCAAAACTTGCAAGAAACCAGGGTATCCTTCAGTAGGTAAACAGATAAATAAACTGTGGCACATTTCAGACAAAGGAATATTATTCAGCACTAAAAAAAATGAGCTATCAAGTCATGAAAAGAAACGGAGAAAGCTTGAGTACATATTACTAAGTGAAAAGGGCAAGGCTACATACTGTATGATTCTAAATACAAGAGATTCCAGAAAAAACAAAATTGTGAAGACAATAAAAATATCCATGGTTGCAGGCAGGGAGGGGAGAAATTGATAGGCAGAACACAGGATTTTTAGGGCAGTGAAAATATTTCATAAAATAATACCATGATGATTGATACCTATCATCTTTTGCCTAAACTCATGTATAACACCAAGACTGAACCCTAAGGTAAACTATGGATTTTGAGTGATCTTGATGGGTCAATGTAGGTTCATCCTTAGTAAAACCTATATCCTTCTGGTGAAGGATGTGGATAATGGGGGAGGCTGTTCATGTGTGGGGGCAGGTAGTATATGGGTAATCTGTATACCTTCCCTTCAGTTTTGTGGTGAACCTAAAACTGTTCTTAAAAAATAAGTCTTTAAAAAAGTGATAGATTCCTGATGACCCAGGCTCAGCACTGTAAGCTGGTGGAAAGTAAAGAACAGTTCAGAGAAGGCATCCATGATCCATGATATGTCTTGCCTTCATGTATATAAAGAGTCACTATATATGAGATACTTTAATTTAGTTATGTACTGCCCTATATGGATACCTTATACTTCTAAGTTTCTTTCTTTTACTCTCATAATAAAATGTTTTCTATGCTGTTTAGCACAACTTATGCCCTACTCTGTAAAAGTCTCCTCTTTTATCACCGCTAAAATTTGGTAATATGAATCAAATTGTATTAATGGGGTAATTGTATTAATGATGCCTCTGATCTTCTATATTGTGATGCTTTGATATCTAGGGTCTTTCCAATGCTAGTCTGTCCCTCCCAGAGTTACCCAATTAAGATCATAAAAACTTACCATCGTGTGTGCCTTTTATATGCAAACCAATCAACCTAGAGCCATATGCCATACCATCCTTTTATCAGGCTCACATACTCTAGGCCACTCTCCACTTGCCAAAATCACATCAGAGACAGGTACCAGAAAACTAGGTACAGCCTCTATGCAAGAAAGCTTGCTGAAATTATTCAAACTAGCCAATCTTAAGACAGCTTACTTTGCCTTACCAATCCCTCCCTAAAGAAATAACAGAGGCTCTTGTCCATGTTTCCCCCATGTTCCCTATGCTGCCCAAAATAACCCTCATATGGCCCCTCGTATGGACCCTGCAGACACGCCTTCTGTTTCTAGGGAAATGTATGTTAAACTTCTTCCTGCATGACAATCAATACCATGTCTGCATGTCTTCTAATACCTGATGAAAATAAACTAGGTTAGTTCTACTTTAATTCAGTTAGATTAGTCTAGTTAATTCAAACTAGACTACAATTAAATTAGTTGTAAATGTATACTATAAACTCTAGGACTACTTCTTAAGGAGTTTTTTAAAAATATAATTGATATGCTAAGAAAGGAGAGGAAATGGAATACTATGAGATAATAAAATTAAAATACGGAAGGCAAAAAAACAAAAAAAGAGAGAAGATTTTAAAAAGAAATAAGAAACTAGGGACAATAAATAGAAAATAGACAAAATTCAACATCTATTTATGATTAAAATCTCTCAACAAAGTGGATATAGAGGGAACATACCTTAACATTATAAAGGCCATATTTGACAAACCCACAGTTTTCATACTCAAAGGTGAAAAACTGAGAGCTTTTCTTCTAAGATCAAAAACAACACATGGGTCCCATTCCTACTACTTTCATTTAACATAGTATTGAAAATAAGCAAATAATGAAACTGGAGTCCTATCTCGTACCACTTAACAAAAATGAACTCAAAATGAACTAAATACTTAAATGTAAGAAGTAAAATCATAAATCTTAGAAAACACAATGAAAAAAATCTCTTTTGACACTAGTCTTGGTAATGATTTTATGGATATGACACCAAAACAACAAACAACTAAAGCTTCATTAATATAAAAGGTTTTGTACAGGGGCTCTTGGGTGGCTTAGCTGGTTGGGCAACTGCCTTCAGCTCAGGTCATGATTCTGGACTCCCAGGATAGAGTCCTGCATCGGGCTCCCTGCTCAGCAGCAAGTCTGCTTCTCCCTCTGGCTCTCCCCCTTCTCATGCTCACTTGCTCTCTCTCATTCTCTCTCTAAATAAATAAATAAAATCTTTTTTTAAAAAAAGGTTTTGTACAGCAAAAGAACCAATCAACAAAATGAAAAGTCAACCTAGAGATTAGGAAAAAAATATTTTTAAACTATAGATCTGATAAGGGGTTAATATCCCAAATATATTAGAAATTCATATAACTCACTACCAAACACCAACTAAGAATTCTTAATATATTAGGAACTCACAACTGATTAAGAAATGGTCAAAAAGGAGGGCCTGGGTGGCTCAGTCAGTTGGGCATCCAACTCTTGATTTCAGCTCAGGTCATGATCTCAGGGTTGTGAGATCAATCCCCATGTTGGATGTGCTCATCATGGAGTCTGGTTGTCCCTCTCCCTCTGCTTCTCCCCAGCCCTCTCTCTCTCAAATAAATAAAACCTTTAAAAAAAGAGAGAGAGAAATGTTCAAAGGACCTGAATAGAGATGCCTCCAAAGAGGATATCCAAATGGACAACAGATATATGGAGAGATACATGCTCAACCTCACTAATCATTGCACAAGAGATATCACCTCACACCTATTAGAATGACTATTATCAAAGAGACAAGAGATAATACATGCTGGTGGAGAAAATGGAACCCTTGTACATTGCTGATAAGAATGTAAATCGGTACCACCACTATGGAAAACATTATGGAGATTCCTGAAAAAATTAAAAATAGAGCTATCATATGAATCATCAATTCCACTTCTGGGTATATATATCTGGAAAAAAATAAAACCTCTCTCTCAAGGCTATATTTGTACCCCATGTTCACTGCAGCCCTATTCACAATTGCCAAGATATGATACAGTAAAAACCTAAGTGTCCACTGACAGATGAATGGATAAAGAATTGTGATATTCAGTCACAAAAAAGAAGGAAATCCTTCCATTTGTGACAACATGGGTGAATCTTGAGGGCATTACACTAAGTCAAATTAGTCTGGCAGAGAAGAACAAGTACTATATGATCTCACTTATATGTGGAGTCTAGCACAACCAAACTCCAAGAAACAGAGAACAGATTGTTGGTTGCTAGGGGTGGGAATGAGTGAAAATGGTTAAAGAGTACAATCTGCTAGTTTCTGAGGATACAATGTACAGCATAATGACTGTACTTAACAATATTGTATTGTCTATTTGAAAGCTGCTGAGAGAGTAGAACTTAAAGGTTCTTATCACACACACACACACACACACACACACACACACACACAAACGGCACCTGCGTGAGATGATGGATGTGTTCACTAACCTAACTGTGAAAACATTTCACAACATACACATATATCAATCATTATGCCGTACTTTTAAACAATGTTATATGTCAATTATATCTCATTAAATCTGGAAAAAAATAATAGATCTCATATATAAACTCAGCAAGGTTATATATAACCTTATATATATATATATATAAATATCTATGTAATATCTATATATCTATATAATATCTATATAATATCTATATAATATATAAATATATATATCTATATAATCTATATATAATATCTATATATAATATATAATATCTATATAAAAATAGACCACATATGTATACGCTAGCAGTGAAAAACTGGAGGATGAATTTTAACAATCAATACCAGTCACAATAACATCAAGATATATAAAATAGCTATGAATAAATTTAGGAGGAGATATGAATGCTCTACAAAGAACTTTTTAAAGACATCAGTAAATGGAGAGATAAATCATGTTAGTAGACACTGGAAGATCCAATGTTGTTATAACAATTTTCCCCTAATTCATTCATAAATTACACACCATCCCTATCAAAATTTAAGTAGGCCTCTGTGTCTGTATGCTTGTATGTCTGCATATAAACAGAAAATCTGATTTTAAAATCTGTATGAGAATGCAAAGTTATATACAGACAATATAGTATTCACAAAGAACAAAGCTGGAGGACTTTAACTATCTTGACTTCAAGATATTTAATATTACTAAAGCCACCATGTTCAAGGAAGTAATTCTTTAATTTTTTTCAATTCTTCACTTAAAAAAAGCACTTAGAATATTATGATTGGTAGCTATCTTTCTGAAATCTAATCTTCAAACTGTTGCTGGTATAAACAAAAATAATTTATTTTTACATTTGTATTTTAATTTTATACTGATATTTTTACAGTATTCTTGCTTAGCTCATATATTTATCTTTTATAATTATAAATTTCTATTATAAAAATTGTCTTAAGGATGTCACCAGGAAAACACACATACTAACCACTTACATTCAATAATTCTTACAACCTGCTTTATTTGTTTATACACAAACACATACACACACACGGCATGATCTAAAATTTAGTCCTCAACAATGAAACATTATTTTCAAGAATTAACAGTGATGAAGACCTGGACAATTTCTGATGGCCTTTCCTCAAACTTTGGCTGAGGGAAGACCAAAAGCAGGAACTGATAATAAAAACAAATCCCTATGAAATGTCTGATGTTCTCCAGCCATGGTAACAATCCCCAGAACTGGTTTTGGATTTATCTAATCAATCAATTTGTAGTCTATAGGAATGATAACAAGCACATACTAGAACTGATTTTAAATATTGAATCTGTCAATAACAATTTGCTTCATTGTACATGCTACTAAAACACAACCAACTATATTCCTGGCTCAGAATAAAAGTGCAGACATTTTTTCTGCAAGTACCCTCAATTAGTTCCTTTCCCTACTATTTATACAAATTGTTGCAAAAGGATATAACTCTGTAGTAGAAGCTCATTCTCAGTTTTGCCAGAAAATAGTAATTACGAATATTTAATGGCTGTTTCTTCCTCCAATGGTCTGCTCATCCCAAACATATAATACAGTATTGAATGCAATAATAAAATAATTATCTTAAAATAGAAAAAAATAATAGTCACATAATTAAAAAGCACATGAATTTATACCAATTATTAATGTTGGGAGAAAAGCTGATATGTTTAATAATTAACATTAAAATTACACTGGTTATGCAATATATATGAATGCAAGCATGTCACTGTTTAAAACACTTAAATTTTTACTTGGGTCAAATAAGTTTTTTAAAAGCAATATGGCATTATAATCAATTCAATTTATAATTTTTTTCTTTTTTAAGATTTATTTATTTATTTTAGAGAGAGAGAGGAAGAGGGGGCAGAGGGAGATGGAGAGAGGAGAATCTCAAGCAGACTCCCCTCAGAGCCTGGAGCCCAACATGGGGCTCCATTTCACAACTCTGAGATCATGACCTATGCCAAAATCAAGAGTTAGAGCTTAATGGACTGAGCTATCCAGGAGCCCCTAAATGTTCTATTTTTTAAAAGCAATTGCATACAGTTTAATATTTATGCTCCAAATTAGTAATATAAAAAACTATTAAAAGATAAGCAGAACAAGTAATACATTTATTCATGCTCTACAATATTTAGGAAATTCTGAAACATTAAAATAATGAGGAACTGGAAAATAATTACATACCAGAGCAACTCCTACTGCAAAATTTTTATTACATATTTTTCCAGGAAATGTGGCTCCTAAAAAACTAGGATGTTTCTTGAAGCTAAAAAATAATAATTTTCCTCAGAATTGCATATGAGTGATATAATTAATGACAATCATTTTCATAGCAACAAACATTATTAAACAATTAATGTGTCCTAAGCCTTATGCCACTCTGAATTAAACTAAATACATTTTTCTCAAACTATCAATGTTAAAAGTATTTCAATATTTTGTAAATTTTAAATTTAATAAACATCTGGAAGTATAATAAGAATAAAGTCTAATAATTTATGCAAAAGGCTATTGGACTAATGCTTATCATTTTTATTCTGGTTCCCTATCCATTTACAGCCCTAAAAATTAAATTTTCTGTGATTTCCTTATTCACTTATTCATTAAAGATGAATAGATTTTTCTGTGCATTAGATTCTACAGCATGAAATAATTCCATATATTCATGTTATTAAAAAATCAGATGAGAGACAAGAATGTAGAGATAGCAAGTAGTATAACTCTCTAAGCAAAGGAAATCAAAGAAACTATATCACTCAAAATTAATCTCCCTTAGTTTTTTCAGTACTTTTATGCAGTTTTACTGAGATCAGGTAATTTTATGTCAGTTGACAGAAGTTTTTAACTATTGACCAACATTAGCTCCTTGAAGACAAGGACTTTTGACCTATGTGTTTTTCCCATCCTGTGGTGTCTATCTATCAAATTTATAGAACATAGTATTTATTCATTAAATGCTTATTATTCATATCTAATATATGAAATCATTCTGTGTTATTCCTTTAATGCTACACAAATATGCAATACTGTACTCACGCAAATAAGTATGCAACCTGATGAGGTCGGAAGATATGTTTGTATTTCCATTCTAAAAATCTAGATAATATATTGTTCGGATTCCCTGTAGTAGAAATTTTGTTTTTATTTGACCAGATTTCTATAGAAGATATTACAACAGTCAGTTTTAACTGGGAAAACATCTAAAAAAAATAATAAATTTTAAATAAATTTGAACCCTTTATTAAATGTCCATAAAAATTCATATATTTAATTCAGTATTTGATTATGAGAATTTAACAGCATAGCAAAATGTTATACACATCAATTCATATTACCTATACTTTTACAAAATATATAAACAAAATTGCTTTTAAAAACTTACAGTGTTAACAAAACCAATTATCTGGATAATCTTCCGTGTTACAGCCTTTACATCAGAGCCCATGTAATCAAACTGAAAAAGAATAATTATTTTTAGAAACTAGTGATGCCATCAAAAATATACTACATACCCTTTTCACGTACAATGTGCTATATTCTAAAATAGCCATAGGGCTACATTCCAGTTGAAATTTAGGAAATCAATAATGATGTATAAATAATGACTTATAAAAATTAATAAATAAACTCAATTTGTAACTTAATGTATATAAGAAGTAAATAAAAATATTTAATAACATGATTTTAATGTTTAATGCACTCAATTTGTGGCATTACTTATTGTTTATGAAAACTTAGTTTCGGTACTATCCTCTGTGGTAGGCATTCTCCCTACTTAGCAATATCCAGCTCTATTCTAGTTCAGGAGCCCTTCCTTTCTAAATATAGGCATGGCCAGTTTATTCACTTTGGACAGTGAAATAAGACAGAAATAAATGTCACTTCTGAGAAGAAGTGTTTCTCTATTGTCACTCATGCCTGTCTGGTCTGCTCTTCTCTGGGCTTAGAATTTGGGGGAGAAAACCTATCAATATAGAAATACCAAAAATCCTAAGCATTTGGAATGCTGAGCCAACACATGGAAGACAGCTGCCTAAAGAGTCACCCAGATCCATGGCCAACATCACATGAATAAAAAATAAACAGTATTTAGGCATTAAGATTTTGGTTTTTTTACTTTTGGATGTCTGAATAATATTCCATGGTATACATATACCACATCTTCTTTCAGATGTCCATTTATCAATTGATGGACATTTGGGCTTGTTCCACAGTTTGGCTATTGTTGATAATGCTGCTGTAAACATTGGGGTGCAGGTGCCCCTTCAAATCTGTATTTTAGAGCTAGAGTGTATTTATACTAAATCAGTCAGAGAAAGACGTTATCTTACTCATATGTGGAATTTAAGAAAGAAAACAGATCAACATATGGGAAGGGGGAAAAGAAAAAAATTAAAGAGGGAAACAATTGATAACTGACTCTTAATGATAGAGAACAAGGGGTGCCTTGGTGGCTCAGTTGGTTAAATGTCTGCCTTTAGCTCAGGTTATGATCCCAGGGTTCTGGGATTGACCCCACAGCAGGCTCTCTGCTCAGCCTGCTTCTCCTTCTCCCTTTGCCCAGCCCCTCTGTCCCCCCGCTAGTGCTGGCTCTCATGTTCTCTCTTTTTAGGAAAGGAAAAAAAAGAAACAAATGATAGAGAACAAACTGAGGATTGATGGAACGAGGTGGTAGAGGATGTGCTAGATGGATGATGGGTATTAAAGTGTGATGAGCACCGGGTGTTAGATGCAAATGATGAATTACTGAATTCTGCTCTAGAAACCAATATTGCATTGTGTGTTAACTAACAAAATTTAAATAATTTCTAAAAATGCAGAGAAAAATAAAAGGACCACATTAATTACCAAAATCAGGAAAGAAAAAGGAGACATTATAGTGATCCAGTAGTATGCTATAGCAGGCTTGTACTGGTTCACTACAGCTGATTTTTAAATTTTCAATCCAATTTTTAAACAACTATTATTAAATTAAGTTATATACATTTTTAACTAAGTTAAATTAAAAAGGTAATAAATACTTTTTTTAAAAAGATCATTTTTTATTATAGTGCAACCTAGTCTGCTGTGATTAATACTTATGCTTCAAGTTTTTATTTATTTATTTATTTTTTAAGATTTTATTTATTTATTTGACAGAGAGAGAGATCACAAGTAGATGGAGAGGCAGGCAGAGAGAGAGAGAGAGAGAGAGGGAAGCAGGCTCCCTGCTGAGCAGAGAGCCTGATGCAGGACTCGATCCCAGGACCCTGAGATCATGACCTGAGCCGAAGGCAGCGGCTTAACCCACTGAGCCACCCAGGCGTCCCTGCTTCAAGTTTTTAAATTATTGTATAGAATTCATTAATTTC